AGTTAATGCTTTACCTTTGTTCCGTTTGGGACAAGATTCTGCAAGATTTTCAATCTCTCGTTTATCCTTTCTCTTCTTCTCTGAAAAATTCGATGAAATCATATTAGACACACGCTTTGAGCCCTTGAAAATGTATATGACTTTATTCAAGTCTGGTCAAGATTTGAAGGTATGTACCCTTGCATAGAGGCTTTGGGGATCAGTTGCAGAACCCCTACTGGCTCTTGCTTTGCCATTTGAATTCACGGTGGCTGAGCCTTTGGATTCTGAATTTTCCCCTCCATTTAATTCTTGAGAAACAATGCAATCATTCTCAGAGCTGCAACTACTAGAACTCCTTCCATTTTCTCCACCATTAGTCTCTTCTAGTTCATCATTGCAATTTTTATTGACATTCTTGTTCTTCTTCGTCTGAGCAATCTGCGGTTTATTTCTGGATGCCTGCATTTATATATTAATCAATAAAAAATTATTAACAAATATATATAGATAATATAAAGTGAGTTGAATTCATTTTACTCACATCTCTAGAAACTCTAGATTTCTTCTTTGGAGGATTTTCTTCCAGTTGTTCTTCTGGTGTCCCAGAATTCCTCTTGAGCTGTATTTCCTTGGCAGAATCATCAATTTCTGCAGTATGACTTTTTACTTTCTCCAGTTGGCCACTGCCCATAACCAAAATGTCTTCCATCACATGATCAGCAGGAAAACTGGCTGGAAAGTTATTATCATTTTTGTAGTCCACACTACAGAAACGGGTGGACTGATCAGGAAAATTAACAACATTTTCTGGATTGATGGGAAAAAAGACTTTGTCAATTTCAGTACTGCTGTTGCTACTTTCTTGAGAAACATAATAAAAGTTAGTCGTGTCAAGAGCATGATCAGTGGAAAACAATACTGTTTCATCAACTCCAGCAGCAACATCTCCTTCTGTAATATCCAAAAAAATCGATGGAATTTCGGAGCTCAACCCATTTTCGACTTGATTCAAAAACAACTCACTGCCATCTAAATGCAGCATAAGATCAGAATCTTCACTAGAAAACATTTTGCTCAATGATTCCCATTCTTCATCAAAAAAGGCTCCAGTACGCTCCATTTTCTCTCCTTTTTTTCGGGGGGAAGGTTGATAAGAAGTGCTTTCTTGTTATACTGGAAATGGTAAAGCTAGTCCCTCTCTTGGAATTGCAGAAAATTCAGTTGCATATTTATACCCAATGGAGTAAGGATATTAATTATATTTTTTGACTTATTAATTAATTCGCAATATACCAAATTATAATTAAATGGTTTGGTCCTAATACTTTGCTACCAACCCAAACGTGTCCACTGTGGGGTCAAAAACCAGGTATAACTCACGAGGGGACCAAAATACATTCAATAATTATGACTTAAATTTTTTTCTCTTTTGGCATTGGCTTAAACCACCATAAAGCATCTCCAGTATTGCTTTTAAGATTTTATTTTAAGAAAATAAATAAAAGAAACGTAGGCAGCAATATTGTAGTTATAGATAGAATTCTTTAGAGATTAATTTTGACTTAATTATTTATTTATTAATTTAATTTCAATGTCGCACATAAATTGCATTGGAGATGCTTTTAGACTTGCTAATCATGTTATTAAAACCGATGAAAGAATCTTAAAACGTTTATTTGGGAGAGATTTTTCTTGGGGAAAATGATTTTTTTTTTTTTAAGAATTTATGGTTTAAAATTGAAAAACAAGTTCCTATTGTGTTATATTTATATCATTAAGTAAGCTGCACTTCCAATGAGATAAAAAAATTTATTAATATCTCAGTTGAGCAATAATTTAATTATACATTGCAATCTTGGCATCATTCTATGCACCAGCTATGTGGTAAAGTTCCTAATTTCGTTGTACTATCATTTACACCATTGTCAATAGAGAATAATTCTAATGAGGAAGATGATGCTATTAAGGACGAAGAGAACAACTTTGATGAGGTGTGCTGCATATCTAACTTGTGGGATGATGAGTTATTTTTTATAAGTGCATAATAAAAGATACAGAACATATTTGATATACTCTTTTTAAGTTTAGATGTAATATTTTTCAATGTTACATTGATTGACACTAAAATATCTTAATTAATTTATTATCTTTTTGAAATACTACAATATAAATAACAAATAAAATATATGAAATTTATTTAATTTTCATCCTATGAATTCTTTCATTGTTGAGATAAATAATAGCTTATAAATATATTTTTCCCACGAAAAGTTATTTGCAGAGAAAGTCAAGGACTTAGCCAACAAAATAATCTTTACCATGTTGCCACAAATTTTTTATTGCTGAAAAAATGTACATCGTAGCCACAATCATTCCTTTCATACAAAAAATTATTTATAGGAAAACTTACGATTTAGCCCACAACATAATTTGTAGGGAAAAGTAAAATCATATCGTGGGCCAAAAGTAACTTTAGCAGACGAATAGTTTTGTTGGGGGAAAATTTATGCGATGCATTGTATTTGTCTCCAAAGGGTTCATGGGGAAAAACTTTAGTCTACAAATTTCAAAATTTTGTCTTCATTTTCTATCTACGCGATGTTTGCCCCATAAATTTGCCTACAAATTTTTTTCATCCGTAAAAGTTTTTTCCCACAATAAAGAACATTTCCCTGTGAATAAATTTTATAGGGAAAACATAAAGTTTTTGTATTTAAGTTATTGGATCACCAAAAAATATTTTCTAAAAATGTGCAGTTGAAAATGTATTTGGAAGAAATGATTTTTGAAAAAATCTTTCGCAAACAAGCTATAACTGTCTTGTCCTAATCATTTGGTTGACTTCAACTGATTCATGAATGTCAATTGTCAATTTGAGAGTTTGGTAAATGAGAGTGACAGTAAAATTAAAAAAATAAAGAAATTAAAAACTTGTACTTTGAATTGGGAGAACGTGGAATTATTATGGAATATTATAATGTAGAGAAATTCTTTTGAAGGATAAAGAAATCAAAAGACGGCAATGATCGTGGAGATAAGTTTGCCATTCTCTAAACTAGTTTTATATCCGACATTGTAACCGGGAAATTAGGTCTTTGCCCCATCCATGTATTCCCCAAGTAAACCTAAACAATTTTCAACGACATGAAAAATCAACCAAGGAGTGACTAAATTCTTTTACACCACTCACTAAAATTCATTTTTGAGGTTTGATAAATCTTTTTTGGTTTTACAATGTGATATTTATCTAGATCTCTCGTTGTCCTTTTGATTATAATCACAAACAATCACAAAAATACGATTGATCGTGACAAATTTGTAACACCCAAAATCAAAGAAAACGTGTTAATGTGTTTATAGATTTTTTTCGTATAAATCAATTTCAATATTATAATTTCGACCACATTTCCCCTCTTCTTTCCATGATAATATATTCTAACATTTTCTAAACTATGATTTTTTTTATATAAGATTTCACGAAGTAGCATACCATTAGAGACATGCCAATAAATTGATTCTGGCTGGCTAAAAAATCATTAAATTACATGAAAATATAAATATTAAGATATCTATGATAGAACAAAATCCCAGCTGTTGTATCTTGATTTTAAGATTAATTAGATGTGTAAGAAACATGACTTCTAATTAAACTCTGGAAGTTAAATCCCATAAAAACCATTCGGATTTTTATCGGATTACATGAACTTAGTCGCCAGCTGCAAATTTCAACCTTTTATTCCGCCGTTGCTTACGGTTGTTTCAGTCCCACGCGTCATATCAACAGACTGTTTCCATTTCTATAAGAATTAATTTATCATTTTTTCCCATTGTGACAGCTTTTTTTTCATTAATTTAAGAGTACACGTAAGAACCATTTTGTGGGACTCCCAAGCAATTGATGTTGGTACACTTAGTTGTGCCAATTTTGCTCGTCAAATCGGGAAATTTTTGAATCGATCAAGCTCACAGCTGATAGAATCGAACCCCATTTTAGAGCGTTGGCTTGAGCCCGTAACTAGCCGAGCCTATAAAAATAAATAAAAATATGAAAGTTATTTTTCTTGTACAAAAACAGGCTGCCTGCTAACACAGGCAGCGTGCAGTTGCCTGCCGGCTTTGAGGCAAAGACACGCTTACTATGTTAGCAGGTACACATAGGCATATACAGCTACATGTTGCCTGTTATTAATAATTAAAATAAAAAAAAGTGAGTTGCCTCACCTCGCCTTTGTCTGGCTCGGGTCGAACCTAGATTTCTTGATCGATCAAAAGCTCGGCTCGAGCCAAAAATAGATTGACCCATTTTTACTTGAGTCGAGCCCGAGCCTCGACTTTCAGTTTCGCTTGTTGGCATCCCCAAGTACACTATAGTTGATTCAAGTACAAGCCCATATCCTTTATATTAATATTATTGTTGTCCCTATTTTATTTTACTAAAATTCACACTTTTATTATATTTTTATAAAATTTGATTAAATAAGTAGTTGAAAAATTGATATGTATGATTAAAATTATTTGTTGATTCTAATTTAATTTTTAACAAATTGATATATATGCACTTGAAGAGGTTGCCGTGAACTCAAGACTTGCTCGGTAAAGTAAATAGTAACATGACTCTACAATTATGAAGAAAATTTAAAATATTTTTCATTGTGGTTTAGTTTGGTTCAATACATGCAGTGTTGTAAAAAACGCAAACTAGGTAAAACGCCTCGCTTAAGGCTTAGGCGTACTTTTCTTTTTATTTCTTTTTTTTAATATAGTAATTTTAGGTGCTTGATAGGTATTATTTTAACAATTAAATATTTTTTATTTTAATTAAAAATTAAAAATAATATTAAAATAAGAAACCATTTTTATTTTATTTTTTACACTTTGGATTTGTCTAAGCTCGTCTAGTTCGAAACCTGACCTTCAACCTAGTCACGCCTTACGCTTTTTGAACACTAGTAAGAAGTATAAAAGATAATGTCATGCACTTTATTAAGTCGATAATCTTGATATTAATGACCACTACTAAGATATACACGACGGTCATTAGAACAATATCATGAGGAAACTTTCTTTTCCTCGCAATCGTGAAGCAATTTACTTTTTTGAATATTTAGTACACCATTTATGACAACTAAAAATTTGGTCATTATGGAAAATTATATGTTTATATTTTATGCCTCACAAAATCCTTATTTGAACTAGAAAAATAGATATTATGCTAATACATTGCACTTGTCATGATTTGAACTCAAAGCTCAAATGTTGTACTACTAATACCTTAACAATCAAAAACCTAGTCCTCTCTCTCATTTAACACTAATGGAGAGGAAATTCCTAAAAGGACCTTGAGTATATGTACTTTGTGGGTTGCACCGCCCGTTGCACGATCTTAAGAAAAGAATGAATTAAGGTCCAGCAAAGCTTCTACAAACGATAAAATTAGTAGAGGAATAAAATCTTTATCTACAAACAGTAAAGAGATTAATAACCTGAAAATCTGATTTTATTCTTCTTTGAAATTCCTATGGCCGTGGGTTTTGGCCGGCTTTGCAAACTTGGATTTTTAGGGTTTTCAACAGGAGTTTAAGTTGACAGCTAATTTTTCTCTTTAAACTACCAATCTATCCACCAATCAACTTCCACGTCATTTGCTATTTTCTATCCAATCATGAGTTGTGGTTTGAAGTGCCATAAACAAGTAAATTTGTTTGTATATTCATAGAAGATTGAACGTGTTAAAAATCATTTTTGCATTTTGATATACCAAAAACAACTGTGCTACATTGCCAAGAAATTTTGCCAGGATTCCGTACAGATACATGATAGATTTTCATTGGAGCCACAAAAAAAAACGAACGAAAGAAAGAAAGAAAAGAAAAAATTGCCAATCAAGGGCTGCCATTTTAGCCCCCCACAGTTTCCCTGTACAAGAAGCTTTTGTTAGGAAATTATTTAATTTTTCATATGGGTCGACATATGTAATTAATTTTGTCTAAAGGTTATCTTACAATTAAACCTAAAATTAAAGTGATCTAGAACTTGTTTGGGAGATATTTTTTGGGGAAGAATTGATTTTAAATAGTGATATGAGGAGAAATATGTGATTGAGAGTATAGAATGAAAGTT